GAAAAATCGAAACAATAAAAAAGAAAGGAAAACTTAAAACTTTCCAAATAGTTAGAGAAATTGTAAAAAAAGAAAGTAGAGAGTGTGTGGGGGAAATGCGCAAAACACAAAACATTTTTATCATTTCAATTCGGGAAATTCTATCTTTTTCTTCTTTTATTTTATAAAAATATTTTTTTAATGTTTCTTATTCGTTCAATTCTCTCATATTTTTCTTTGTTTCTATAAGGCCTCCTGCACCAACCAATGCATTTTTCTGTTTGAAAGAATTATTAAATTTAATATATTTTTAGTTTATGATAGGGCATTAATTTTTTAATTTTTGTAAATTTTTCAAATCTAAAATCATGAATAACAAAAAATTTGACCATCCTAGTCCTTAGTTCTATTAGTCTCCAAAAATTTTTTTGTTAAAGTCGAACCCCTCTATTTTATGTACGCCTCAGAAACACCCAATTTTAATTAATTATTTCATCCTTTATAGATGTCGATCGGAAATGAAGAAGGTCCCGGAAATTGGAACTGTCGGAAGTCGGAAATCAGCCTAAATTTTCGGAAGTCAGAAATCGAAAGGAAAAAAACGTCGGAAATCGGAATTCCGATCGACCTCCGATCCTTAAAGACGTACATAAAATAGAGATGTGACTGGAGCTGGTAATGGGCATGGATTTTGGCATCCGTGTTTGGGTATTTACGGCGTATACAGGCGGATATCCGCAGGCATTTTGAATTTATTTGAATCATTTTGAATCTCTATCCATATCCATTACCAAGCCTGGATGTGTCCATTACCAAGCCTTCCCCTCTTCAGTCACTCTAATAAATTATTCTTTCAGTTCGGAATTTTTAAACTTTGAAAAGAGGGAAAGGAGGAGAACACAGGCAACAGCGATAGCAATTAAAAATTTAATAGATTTTTTTGTAATGTGAGCGGAAAGGGACAAAAAATAGATGAAAATGGCCGATTAAATTTAAAATAAGAAAAATTTTTTAAAACAAATTTTTGAAGAAAAATAACAAAAATAATAATATTTGCGAACGCCCAAATCGGCGCGCGGCCATAACGGCGCAAAGCGATAACTTGCTTCAAAATCTCCGGATCTTAACAAATTTAGTATCAAACGATTCCTCTCATCGAGTTAAAGAGATTGGTACCAAAATTGACAAGGGCCAGAAATTTTCCAGCAAGTCATAGCTTTGCGCCGTTATGGGCGCGCGCCGTTTTGGGCTGTACCCATAATACTCTCCACACACTTTTCCCCCTCTTTTTAATCGTTTTTAATTTAGGAAATGAGAGATTTTTAGTTTTAAAATTTTTAAAATTCCCCCAAAAAATTCAATTTCTCCCAAATGAATACTTCCGAACCCTTAAATCCAGCAAATTTATCAGAAGAAATAAATGAACTTAAAAGAATATTAGACGAATTAAAATTAAATACAAACGACAACAACGATGCTTTTTTTAGTTGTGCTATGGCGCTTATAATATTTTGTGAGTGAAAATGGGAAAATGTTAATTAAAAAAGGAATTACAAATGTGGAAGAAAAAATTTTTGGAAAACTTAAAAATAAATACAGTCGGACTTGCATTGTGAATACACCCTTAGGGCCCAAATATTGTCCGTGTTAGGCAGCTCTCCCTCTCCACAACCCACTAAAGGCTACCGGGAACGGAATGGAATAAAAATATTTGACATGATTCCCAAGGAGCTTCCATGGCAAGCTCTACCAATCTTCTCTACTTAATGAGTAGAGGATGTCGCTTAGATAGCCTCAACCACCCGCTAAAACTTCGCCGAAACTGGGTCGAAATTGGAAACCAAAGCTTTGACTGGAACTTTCCAGGAAAGCTCTACTTCCCCAAACCTTTCCCCCCATTCAGTGACTAACCGAATTTTAAATTGAAATTTATTGGTATAAAAGTTTTCCTAAAATCTTTAAGTAATGCAATGTGGATTCGCTTTTCTCGAAGCTGGAGCTGTTAGAAGTAAAAATTGTACAAATATTCTAATTAAAAATGTTTTGGATTCGCGTATGTTTACATTGAAAATAAAAAGATTTTAATTTTTTAAAGTTCTCGGAATTCTTGGTTATTGGGCAATTGGATGGGCTTTGGCATATGGACCTAATTCAAACAATTTTCTTGACCATTTTTTCGGTTTTAGTCAATTCTTTGTTATTGGCCTACAAAATTATGCAAAATTCTTTTTTCAATTTGTTTTTGCTGCTACAGCTGCTGTAAACCTTTTAAAAAATTTCAAAAATTCTAAAAAATATTTTTAAGAAAATAATTTCTGGGGCGGTCGCAGAAAGGGCAGAATTTGCTTGTTTTTTAACCTACTCACTTTTAATTACTTGTAAATTAATTTTAAAAAAATAAAAAAAAATAAAACCTAGCATTTTGTTACCCTATACTAACACATTGGGGATGGACTCCAAATGGATGGATGGCTAGAGGTTTTGACCCAAGCCTTGGACTTGAACAACATTTATTCGAAAATAATACTTTAAACATTAAAGTCCGTTTCAAAAGTATAGCGCCAGGGGTTTTTTAAGCGTTACTCTTGCTGGTAGTAACAATGCTAAGGATATGTAGCTGCAGCTACGGATTTTTTTATCTGCAGATACCTAGCTGCAGATAGGTAAAATAAGGAGCACAAAATTTACTACAAAATACACTTGGTCACATCCTGGAGAAAAATCTTAACATTGAGGGCTCATCGGTTAAAGAGCAGATAAATAAATTCACTGAAATTACCCCATAATTTTTTTCTGTAATGTTTTATTTTATTTATATAATGTAAACATTTGATCAAACGAATAATTGACAAAAATTTGATTGCTAGTTGAGAAGTGGATGTTAGAGTAACGCTCAAAAAATCCATGGCGCTATATTTTTGAAACGGACTTTAATAGTAGTGAAACAAACATTACAAAAATTACAAACACAACAACAACATTCAGAACAATTTATGTTGATTTTGCTGGGTCTGGAATGGTAATTACTAGAGCCCGGTTTTTAGGCACGATAAGTAAAAAATAGGCGCCTATGCAGTAGTGATGTTCAGGAGAAGAAAAAACTCGGGTATCGGGAAACGGGAGTCGGGTCGGGAAATGACCTCGGGAGTCGGGATCGGGAGTCGGGAATTTACAATAAAATTTTTTTGATACCTTAGGCACCAAAAATTCCGATTTTTTGCACCGCAGGCGAGAATTTTGAGAATTTTGAAAGGTAAGAAGCCAGATATCTTCCTTACTACCGCTGCAGGCAAAAATTTTGTGAATTTTTGAAGGCTATGCGGTAAAATTTCTTCTATTTTCAGCGCCGCAGGCGAAAATTTTGAAAATTAGCAAGTCCTTAGGCAAAAAATTCGACTTTTCGATCTCCATATTTCCCCTCCCACTTTTCCCAATTTCGTGGTTGGGGGGAGGGGGGGGGAGGAGGGGGGGGAGGGGGGGTAGGCTCTAGCCTCCTGGATACGCCCTTGATGTTATCGTCAGTCCTTAGGCAAAAAACCCCTCCGTAGCCAAGGGGTTGATTTCAGGGGTGCTAATTTCAGGGGTCTCAAACTTTTTTTAGGTTTGAAAGCTAGGAAGCCATATATTCTTCATTTTCTGCGCCGCAGGAAAAAATTTAGCAAAATTCGTGACTAAATTAATTTTTTTACAGTTTATTCACGTTTACTAATATTAAAAAAATAACTTTACAATTTTAAAAACAAAATTAAAGTTAAAAAACATTTATTTTTCGAGGAAAAATAATTTAACTCGCATTTACCAGCCCAGGACTCGAACCCAAACCCTACAAACTATCAAATTGAGTGAAGTCACTAAATCTTACCACTCAACCATCGCTCACCAACAGATCTCTAGGAAAAAATTTAAATATACATATTTTATTTTTCTATTCTCCCTTTGCCTTTTTTATTTTTTCCTCTTTATTTTTTCCCTTCAAAAATAAAATTTTATCAAAAAAATCCATTCTTAGGGGTGTAAAAATTTCCCGACTTACTCGGGAATTGATACCGGGAGTCGGGATCGGGATCGGGAGGCCAAAAACTCGGGAAATTTTCCCGAGTCGGGAGTCGGGATCGGGATACCCGAACATCACTACTATGCAGGCACTAAAAACTGCTAAAATAGGCACTAAAATCCGAAAAAAGGCAAAATAGGCAGGATTTTTTCGAGATTTTCTGATTTAAATTGGCTAAAGTTTATCAAAAGTGATAAATCTAAGCAATAAACTGTTAAATAAATTAATTTTGACAATCAGAATTACATATAGTATATTAATTTATATTAATTATTTTGTTTCCAAAAATAATTTGATAAATTCTTCAGAAGAAAATTTATCCCAGAAAAATTTTTTGACAAAAATTTTTTAGAAAAATTTTATATTTTACCAGAAAAAAATTTTTTACACAAGAATTTTATCAAAAACTGCGCAAAAATTCGCAATTTTACTAAAGATATGCAAAATAGGCTGAAAGAAGGCAAAATAGGGCATTTTTCCAGAAAATGTTAAAATAGGTAGGCAATTTTAGGCAACGATAAAAGTAGTTAGAAAGAAGATTTCATTAAAATAACACCGGATTTGAACGTTTCAGCATCAGGCCTATCTAGGAAAAAACAGGCAAATAAAATGGGAAGAAAAAATATTAAAAACAAAACAAATCTTCAGTAGTACCCAAAAAACATTTAATAAATTATGTGGCAAATTTACCAGGTACATCTCTGTGGCGGAACAATTTCTCTAATAGCAGCATTGCTTATCGGCCCAAGAATTGGACGTTTTCCTTAGAAAGAAGCTAGGCAGAAAAATAAAGTTAAGAAAGGAAAACAACAACGAATTACACCTTTAAGGAATGTTGGGACAGAAGGAAAATTACCAAAAATTGCAGAAATTAAGGGGCATTCAGTACCTGTAAGTTGTCTCTCCTTCTCCTAAATTTCCCCTTCCCTCTTCCTTCAAGTTTGCCTCTCTTGGAGGATTTATTCTAATGTTTGGATTTCTTGCTTTCAATGGTGGATCAACAGGAGAAATTTCAACTAAAGGTGTTGGGCAAATAGTAGTCAAAGTTATGGTTAATACTATTTTGTGTGGGGCTTTTGCTGCTTTGTCTTATTTATTTGTTCATTTTATTAGAAAAGGAAAGTGGACAATTTTGTTGACAATTAATGCTTGTTTAACTGGTATGTTTTTAATAAATTCTGATTTCTTGTTGTTTTTGGTTAAAACAAAATCAGAATAAAATAAAAACATCCTCAAAACAATCAAAACATAATATTCAGAATAAAATAGGAAAAACAAACCAGAACTAAGGTTTTAAAATCAGAATATTTGAAAACAAAACACTGATTCAAAACCAGAATAAAATTAAAACATTTGTTTTGCTTGGATAAAAACATAACAGAATAAGAAAAACAAAACCAGAATAAAAGAAGAAATAATATCAGAATAAAACAGAGAACAAAACCAGAATACATATTACAGAAAAACACACAAACAAAATCAGAATAAAATTTGAACAATTAATTATTCCCTCATTATTAAGGAATGGTTAGTGCCTGTGCTGGTTGTAATATAATGTTTGTTTGGTTAATAAAAACAATTAATTGTTCTGTTTTTAGGCCTGTTTGGACATCAGCAATAACCGGATCCATTGCAGGAATGGCCTATTTAGCCTTTTCAGAGCTCTGTTTAATTATGCGAATAGATGACCCTCTCGATGCTTTTGCTGTTCACTTTGGGGGTGGATTGTGGGGGTTAATTAGTGCTTGTTTGGTTACTGAAAAAGGGCTTCTTTTCTCTTTAATTGACCCCGAAAAGGTTAAATTTGACGAAGCATTATGGCAACTTTGTTGGCAAAGTGTTTGTGCTGTAGCAATAATTGTTTGGTCAGCACTTGTATTAACTCCAGCTTTTCTAATTTTAAAAGCATTTGGAAAAATAAGGGTGCCCAGAGAAGTAGAAATACGTGGATTGGATAGATTTAAACATGGGGAGGCAGCATATCCTTTGACTGCTTATGGACATGGATGGGGGGATGGAACTGAATTTGTTATTACTCCATTACAGGATGTTGGGGGAGATGCTGTAAATGGTAAAAATAATATAAGGGAAAAACAATTATTTGTTTTGATGTTTTGTTTGTTTCTGTAGTAACAACAATGATGAGACTAACAAGAGAGAGAGGAATACAACAATATTTTGTACAACAACATTTTGTGCATAGAAGGGTATGTTTAATGAATGTTTTAGAGAAACTAATGAAAATATTTAAGCAAAAACAAACAAGCGCAACACCTTAAAATTACAAGGAATTAAAGTAAATAAATTCTAAACATTTCTCTAAACTTTGCATTTTTAAAACAATTATTTGCTCAAATAAACACAACAATAACTTTAAATTTGTAAAAATATATTAAAATTGAAAAAAAAGTTTCTAAAATTAGACTTATTTTTTCCTTTTTTATTTCTTTAAAAATGTCATATATAGGGTAATTAGAGGTGCATAGTCAAACGGTACTCTTTTTTCCGGAGATGCCTGTGGACTGAGATATAGGGCTCGAAATGGTCAAAAGCCATAGGGGGATTTTAGGGTCAAAAATTTGAATATACAAATAAAAGCTCATTCGAAAGAGCTTGACGAGTTGAGTTGAATGACACCAAAATCAGCCCTCAGTCTCAACATTGAGCCGAGATAAAGAGGCTCAAAATAGTCAACGTAAACCTATGGAAGCGTCGGCGAGGCGCTTCTGCAAAACCCGGGCTTTCTCGGCCTTCTGAGAACACCGTACAAATCTGAATTTTTTCAAACCCAACCTGTTCCCATTATATTTTTGGTAATGCAACGATTTGTAGCTCACGTTTTGGCGTATAATGATTTGGCTCTGGTAATGTGCGATCAATATTCTGAATTTATTGGGTACTTATTGGTGTAATGAATTTAATTTTTCGGAATATAGAGAAGGACATTACTTCTTTATTACACAATCATTTAAATGTAGACAGGATTAATTCTCAAATTAGGTTATAAAAACGTTCATGTCTTAAGGGAACATTTTATATAAAGTTGTGTTCTTGTACGAGAAAATGCCCTTCTCTACATGTCAGCAAAAATAATTAAAAAGTTTGATGGAATATTCGCAGCCCATAGACGTTATTGACTTCGTATTTCCTAAAAATAAATTTAACATTCCACCAAAACTGTTGTTATTCCTCTTCGAACATTTTTAAATTTTAATTCGCGTGGCCTTTTGAATTAAATTTGTACAATTTTGGCATAATGTCTATTTATTTTATAGATAATATAGAAGACATAGAAAGGAAATTGACGGTTTTTTCTTGGGTACAGCCCAAGTAGGCGCGCGGCCAAGTAGGCGCAAAGCCATAACCTGCTTCAAAATTTCTAAGGCTTTCAAAATTTAGTATTAAACGATTCCTCTGATTGAGATAAAGAGATTGGTACCAAAATTGTTAAGGTTCAGAAAATTTCCGGCTAGTCATGGCCTTGCGCCTACTTGGCCGCGCGCCTACTTGGGCATGTCCCTTTTTTCTTTTTCGTTTTTCAAATTTTAGTTTTTATTTCTTTCCTTTTCCTTAATTTTCTTCTAGTTTTTCTTGTTTTTTAGAGATTTAAAATTTTTTTTCTAAAATGATAATGCTCTACCATTCTACTAGTGTCTATGATAAGATGAAGTGGATGAGTTGATGGCCCTCAATTGATATTGGCAAATTCTGATTTTTCATTTAAACGACCGATGCTTTCGAGTTGTTGGCAGGTTTTTTTCTATACCTAATCAGGTTTTGTAGGGGTTTTGCCTACATTGATATGCGTCCCTTGGACACCGGGGATGGGTCGGGTTAATCGAAACAGACCAGAAACACGGCTTCCAAAGAAATTTTTTGTGAAAGAAATCCGTCTTTTGACCTTCCATAATTTTCCCCTGGAACCTAAAAAAGAAAAAATCTGGCTTTATGGCAACACCGAACCGATCCATTTTTCTAATCCGACCCGTCCCTGATATTTCTTAAAATGCAACGACTTGTCGCTTTAAAGTGCGCATGAATATTCTAAATTTATTGGGGTAGTCAATTTATTTTTCTGAATAGGATGAGTAGGGCATTCTTTTTTTCATTTCACAATCATGTAAATAAAGACAGGATTAATTCTCAAACAGATTATAAAAACGTTTATGTCTGAAGGCAAAATTTTATATTCAGAATTTTCCCCCAATTTGCTCTCTTCAACCCGTGTGTGTTGTAAATATAAGTCAGCAAAATATGATTTTGGTTAACCCAAAGTACTATTTCTAAATTAAATTTAACTGATGCATCCTACTTTGTCGTTGGCTAATTTTTTGGCTAAATTTTTCTCTCTCCAGTTTGCCTTAAAAACGAAATCAAAGTAAAAACTAGTGTTTGAAGTCGGTTAACTTATTGGAATTATCCCACTCCTCCTGAACAAAAATTTTAACCTTGGATGGTTTTTAAACAAAAACAAACCACCTTTTTCTAATCACTGCGACAAAGTGGAAGAGAAAAAGTAGCCAGCGACAAAGCGTCCTTATCCCAATTTGAAGAAAATAGTTAGGGGTACACGACTAATAGGCGCAGACGAATAGGCGCAATTTTTTCGGCGCAGCATGTTTTCGGCGTCGAGGGAAAAAAATTTAAATATACAAATAATAGCTCGTTTGCATGCATTAGACGAGCTTTATCGATGATACTGAAACCAGCTTGATTCAAAATTATGCATAAACTTATGACCAACAGAATCTTCGCTGGAAAAACTGTTTCTGTGCTGCTACGGAGGGTAGGCCGGGCATGGCCTTCGCTACACGATGGCCGTGCTTCGCTGCGGTCGTGCTCGCTTCGCTCGCGGCGACCGTAGCGAAGCGGCGGCCGTCGTTCCGCTCGACATGCCCGGCTTCCTCCGCAGCGGCAAAAACTTTTTTCCGCGTAAATTGATGTGTTTACGCGTTTTTGCGTTAAACGCCGAAAATAGGCTGCGCCGAAAAACTTGCGCCTATCCGTCTGCGCCTATTCGGCTGCGCCTATTCGTCCTGCTCCGATAGTTAGGGAATTAGAGAAAGAAAAACTATCAAGATTCAAATTTAAAAATGGCTTCCTTTTATGCTTTAAATTTTAGATTTTCTGTTTTTGAGATTTTACTACTTTTCGTCTGATTTTTAAAATTAATTTTTTTTCACCTGATTTTTAAAATTAATTTGTTCTTTTTCAGATACAAGATCTCAATTTGTTCAATATGTTCAGAAGATTGATCTAAATCATGGCAATGCTTTTATTTCTATTCAGGTGAATCCAATAAGGTTTAGTTTAAAATTTGGGGTTTGGGTTTCCAAACGGCTTTGGGTTTGCTACTTAGATTTTATTGAAAACACCGGGGGTGAAGTTTGTTGCACTTGATTAGTTTAAGCTTCCAGAATTTTACTAATTATTATTTGAAAGCTCGTCAAGCTGAGCCAATGGGGAATCTGCATGAAAAACTTTTTAAGCTACTAACGGGATAAGTTGATGGTCGAGCTCTGCTGCGGTGTGATTACTTGTCTAGGGAGACCGTAACGAAGCGGTTTTTGAATTACTCAGCTTGACGAAATTTCCCAATGCTATCCTTGTAAACTTTTTGGCTACTTACATTTATATTTTTATTTTAAAGTTATTATTTTTTACTCATTTTTTTATTTAGGAAAATGACTTGTGTGAAAGTTATGGACTCGATGATTGGAAGTATGTATTGTGTGGCTGCTGATGCTTTTTCGCAAGTTTAATTTTTTCCATTTATTAGCTAACTTGAAAAATGATGGCGTACTCTAGACATGCGTCCCGTGAATTGTGCGTCACTTCAAAGTATAAACGCCCCAAAACCAGTATAAGCCAGCAGTCGAGATCGGGAGGCATTGTAAATGGAAGGAATCCGGTTCTTTGGCCCTCCAAAATTCTCGTAATTTTGCTTACGGTATGAAAAGGTAGTTCCAATGGAAGACTATAGAAGGATTAGGGGTAATTAAGTGGATTTGGTTGGCTTAATAGATCTTGACTGATATTCTCTGATTGGACGCATATTCAATTTTTGGGAAGTATATACTAGAGACCGGCAAAATCGCACTTCCGGGATCCCGAGTCGGGATTTTTTTTCTTAACCGATGCCGGGACGGGATCCCGAGGGAGAAATCCCGAAAAAATCCCGAAAAAAATTATCCGGGATCCCGCCCGGGATTCGGGATTTTTTTCAAAATAAAAAATTTAAACTTTTTATGAATAAAGTGCATTAAATACTGCAATTTATACTAACAAGGGAACATATGTTACTGTGACCGCGAATTTGGTATTTTTTTGGTACCATTCGATAGAGGACCCCCGACTTACTATTGCAAAGTGCTATCCGTTTTCTTGCAAAAAATTTTTAAAAAAAGTTATGGCCAGTCAAAGTTAGACCGCTCGAGTCTGGAGTTATAGGGTAAGTAAACAATTTCTCTCTTATTTTTCATCCTCAAAAAACCAACACGCCCATCCTCTCTTTATTTACAGTGTCTACCATTTTTCCTCATTTTTTTCCTGCGCGCCTCTTGCGTTCTTTCTCATCATTGTAAGTCAATATAAAGAAAGCAGAGAGGGTGAAAAAAAAAGTTATAGCGCGCTTATTTTCCCTCTTCTTATTTTTCATCCTCAAAGAACAAGCCACGCCCCTTCTCTTTGTTTATTGTGTCTGACATTTTTCTCCCTTCTTTTTTCCTCGCGACTCTTGCATTCTTTTTTCCTCTTTAAAAATAATGTGAAGAAAGCAGAGAAGTGAAAAAAAAGTTATAGCGCGCTTATTTTCCCTCTTGCTTATACTCAACCAACCCCAAGGACTGAAACTTTGAACGGCCATAACTTTTTTTAAAAATTTTTTGCAAGAAAACGGATAGCACTTTGCAATAGTAAGTCGGGGGTCCTCTATCGAATGGTACCAAAAAAAATACCAAATTCGCGGTCACAGTAACATATGTTCCCTTGTAAGTAAATAAAATTAAATTTGTAAAAATATCAATAATTTTTTATAAATGGATTGTTCTCCTCCTTTAATTCCCTCTATAATGGATTTAGAGGGATATCGGTGGATTAATCACTAGGTCCCTTGATAAAATCCCACTACA